AATTTAGGAACGCTTGCAGAGCTTAGGTCATCCTTGGGGGGACAGCCAAGGACCGAATCTAGGGTTTGATTTCCATTTTCTTCCTAGCTTTCTTTAATTCTTGCATTCGGTAATTTCCTTCTATTTTCATTTGATAATTGTAAGACCCATCCTCATGGAAGGCTAAACTCTTTTGTAATCCCTAGAAAGTTCATTCAGACTCTTGAATGTTAATATAATTCCTTTCCTTTCATTAATTTCTTCTTCCAAATCTCTTGAATTGAATTAATGAGTGAATGAGGAGAGCATTGTGTAATGAACCTTAATTTGTTTTAATGAAATTCTAAATTTGAATTGCTTAATTCTTGTTTAATTCTAAGATTGCGTAATCAAGGAATGAGAGATTGGAGTTTATTGGATTGCTTAATTCATATAAAAACATAAGGTTGATTTTCGTTTGTTAAATTAACCTAATTCTGGGAGTAGAGGAAGAGTATTAAAATCTTGAGAGGAATGAGGATAAAGTCCATATGAATGAACTAGGAATTACTACTTTTTATTGATTGAACTTTATAATTCTTCTTCTTGTTCTTAATTTCAACCTTGGAACTGCACAAACTCCCCTTAATTAATTGCTTTTGTAATTAATGTTTTTAACATGTTTGATGCATATTCTCAACTATTATTGTTGGAGTCGACCTAAGTTAGCACCCTAGTATTACATTAATTTCTATTTATATTTTGATGAAAATTCGTGACAAATTCCTTTTCATCAATACCCTCTGTTTACTCCCTCTGCCCCTATAAGGATCGTCATAAATAACTCTCCCTATTACCTTCTCTCGCTACCATCTCATTACCCATTCTTTCCTTTCTCTTCTTTTACACACCCTCCAAATGGTAGGCCTCTTATATGGTTGCTGGACCATGTTGCCTTCCTGACTATTTTGGACTGTAACACTGCCTTCCTCTTGAGTACCAGCCTTGTCCCTAAGGCTGAAGCCTTGAAATTGATTACGGATCGTAACTTCATCTGCCCAAGTAGCTTCGTCAACTGATTGCCCCTTCTAGTGAATTAACAGTTAAGGAACAGTTTTCCCTCCTTTGGTTACAAGACAGGAAGCTAACATAGCCCTTGGTTCTTGGATTTTTGTAGGCTTACCATCCAAACCTGGTGGTAATTCTTGTTCAATTTTGTAATCACCCATAGCCTTCTTGAGTAACGAGACATGAAACATAGGGTGAATTCTTGATGTTTCAGGGAGTTGCAACTTATAAGCTACCGTCCCAATACGCTACAACACTTGGAACGACCTATAATATCGAGTTGACAGTTTGGCATTAATCTGAGCAAGAACAAAAACTTGACAATGAGGGTGCAGTTTGAGAAACACCCACTCGCCTACCTCAAAACTTCTCTCCTTATGTTCTATCAGCTTGATTTTTCATTCTATCTTGAGCACCTCGCAGAGCCTCATCTCTATCCAACAACTCTTGTTGTATAGCTTCTACATTTGTTTCACTGTGGAGGAAATGAACTAAGATTGGGGGCTTCCTCCCATAAACAGCTTTAAAGGGCGTCATTCTTGACGTCTCATGGAAATTGGTGTTATACCAATATTTTGCCCAATGTACCCACTAGACCCAGATCTTAGGTTGATCCACAACAAAACAACACAGATATGTTTCTAGACAACGGTTTATGACCTCCGTCTGGCCATCTATTTTAGGATTGTAAGCAGAACTCATCTTGAGTTGAGTACCTTGCAACTTAAAAATTTCTTGCTAGAAGTTACTAACGAAGATAGGGTCACAATTGTTGATAATGGAGAGAGGAACACCATGTAACCTTATCACTTTTTTCATAAATAACTCTGCCACAGTCCTAGCAGAAAAGGGGTGCTTCAGGGGAAGAACATGAGTGTACTTCAAGAGGTAGTCCACCACAACAAAAATTGCATTATACCCACGTGATTTAGGCAACCCTGTAATGAAATCCATAGAGATCTCTTCCCAAATCTGCTTTAGAATGTTCAAAGGCTGTAAAAGACCACCGGGTGACATGGCCATATACTTCTGTCGCTGGCAAATATCACATTTTCGAACAAAATCTTGGACTACCTTCGTCATCCCAATTCAGTATAGGTTGGCAACAAGTCTTTTATATGTCTTATAAAAACTAGAGTGCCCCCTTGGGGAGAGGCATGAAATTCTTTTATTACTTTAGGGATCCAAGAGGATATGGACGATAGAGCAGAATTCCATTTTATACGTGAACCCTGGTCTGCAATATTTGGTTTTATATCAAGTACAATCAAAATTTGCTAAATCATTATAACAGTCGTGATGTGATTAATCCCATTGTTTTGGATGATATTGACGATTGCAATAAGTGGTTGATTGGAGAAATAGGAGAAGAAAATACGGAACTTGTTAAAGATGAGTTGGTCTTTGATGATGATAATTTAACTTGGGGAATTGTTGTTGAAGTTATTGGGGCTAATGAGCCTATTGCTTACACTAGACAACAAACAATATTCAAGAAGAAAGCTGATACTACCTCTAACTTTAGAAAGGGAAGAATATTATGCAAGATAAAGAGCAAGAAATAAATAGGTCATTCTCCATTAAAAACCTAACTTTGATAAATAATTTTATCGTTTTGTTTGTATTGTGCGATATTGTTCATCGTCTTCCTCCTCAAATCTCTGACATTATTTTCGGCACCTCTTCCTCTTCTTTCTTTCTTTCATCTTCTTATTCTCAAAACTGCATCTTCTTGCCATCAACAATACCAAGCACCCACCTCCAATATGATGAATTGAAAATCAACTTTTGCGTTTTCACATTGGCTCTTAGATTCCCTCTAAAATCAACTTCTTGCCATTAACAACATCAATACATCTCTCCTTGAACTAATTTGTTTAGAACAAGAATGTTTCGTACTCACCTCGAATGGTAGCTGTTGGTATGTTCTTGTATTTCACGCGAGCATCTTCCAAGAGTCATTCTCCCAAATACTGCAACCCCAGAGAAGACAATGTAAGGTTTTGTGCTTTCTAGCGTCAATGGCCTAAAAAACAAGCACAGAGTGTTGAAACACGATGGCTCTCCAACTCGTTGCAAATCATATGGATGCTTTCTTGCTATGGCCAACATACTGATGTTCCTGCTATGACGAATATACTGTTGCTGGAAATAGAAAATGAGTATTTAAAAAGTTGATTTATTTATGATTTAGGATTTGGGGATAGGTGCTTGGTGTTAGTGGCAAGAAGATGAAGTTTTGAGTATAAGAAGATGAAGACAAAAGGGAGAAGGAAGAAAAAAAGATGTAAGAAACCGAAGATCTAAGGAAGAAGACAATAAACAGTTATATACAGTACATGTAGTACAAAATGACAAAACTTTCTAACGGAAAAGGACCTGTTTGAAACTTTTTTAAAAGTTAGAGGATGAAAGTAAATTTTACCCTAAAATTAATGGATGAAAAGTGTAATTTTACTTAAATATAAAGAGAATATATATATATATATATATATATATATATATAATTCATCATATGTATAGATTTATACTTTGATGTTAGTGATGACTCACTAAAAGGTGTGGATCTAGATTAAGATATTCTCAAACTCCACCACCACCATGACAAAAATCAATAAAATTAGTTCTTAAGAGTAAAATAATACTATTGTCATCTCAATTGTTATTTAACAATAAAACACTGTTATAATAAAAATATTAATTAAACTCAAATATCTAACATTTGATAAAATAAAAAATTATTGAGTCTATTGGAAAATCCTAAAAACCAATTTATCTTATGCTTATATAAAATCTCATGGAGATTTACTCAAGCATAATAAGATAAACTTACTAAAAAGATCAATTTTGGTCAAATAATCTTAGTTATAAGCTAGTCAAATAAATCAAATGGTAAGAAGAATGTCTTGCCAAATATATTATATGTTGGTATGAATAAGTTTAATACTATATACTTGTTCATAAAATTTCGTCTAGGTATATTTGAATTTAAACCTATTTAATAAATATGAATCTTAATTATTATGAGTAATTTATTTATTAATTTATTATAATGATAAAATAATATGAATTCTCATATAATAAGAATTTATTAAATTAATACTTAAAAACTACTTATTGAAATCTACCTAAAACCTCATTAACTTTAAGAATGCAAGTTCTCTCTAAGTCTTGATAAGGTAAATTTAAGCATGTATCAATTATCACATCACATTTATATCAATATTGAGTTTAATTATAATGTGTTATAAGTATATTTTGTTTATATTATTAATTAATTAAAAATATTATAAATATGATCGGATAAAAATATAAAAATCTTTACAATATCAATTACTATCGCTTATTTATTTCTTATATTCACTAAAACTTTTACACATTATTTTGATTTTATCATTTGTTGGGTGGGTGATTTCAATATCTAAGAATAGTGAATGTAATAATCCAAATAAATTGGGATGGCATTTTCATATTGATTTAACAATAAAAAAAAGATTGATTGTACGGAGAAAAGAAGCAGAAGAGATATAACGTATAAAAGGGAAAGGTAAAAACAATAAAGAAAATGTAAAGAAGAGTGTAAAAATATAATAAAAATATAAAGTTAATAATCATTTCACGCCTTTCCACACTTTATTAATAGATATGAAATGAGTGAAAAGAAGAATATAATAAAAAAATTTAAAAAAAATGCAAGTTTTTAAATATAAAAATTCAAATATATAATAAGCACATTTCAGTCACGCATATAGGACTAAATCGAGACATTAACATTAATAAATATAATTTTACATGTACATATTTTTATATTTGTAATTTTTATTACATAATCTGTTGTATATTTTTTCAATTTTTTTATCTTCGAATTTCCTTTTACTCCTTTTACCCAACATGCAAAAATATAATATCCCCTTTACCAATAAGAAACCACTTTAAATAAACTTAAGCTATGCAAAACGGTAGAAAGGAATTCACTTTACTGCAGTAGAAAATCCGCAAAGCGTTGCAGCATGATCTTGGATTTTTCGGTTTCGGGATTGTGAATGTGAAAAACGTGATCCTCCCCTTCCATTTGAAACAGTTCAACTTCACCATGCCACCCACTCTCCTTCACAGCCTTATAGTAGGACACTGCTCTGTCCCGCAGCTGATCCTTTTCAGCCGTACAAACAAGAAGTTTAGAACACCCAAGCCCACCCAAGTTATGGCCCCCAACAACCAAAGGATTGATCATGGGGTTGTCAAGCCCACCAGGCGCAGATGGGTAAACGAAATCCCACACAAGAAAGGCTGCACTCTGCTCGTGCCCCACAACTTGTTCAGATCCTATTGGCTTTGAACCGAAGAAGTAAGGTTGAGAAACTAAAGCACCCAAGAGTTTGACACCATTAGGTAAAACCTCAGCACCAGCACGCAAGGCAATGTTATGCACAATGTTAGCGCCAGCACTGTCACCCCCTAAGAAAACTCTGTTGAAATCACCATGGTTCTTTGTCCATGGCTCGGTTTTGGTGGCCACCCATTTAAGAGCTTCCCAACAGTCTTCATAAGCTGCAGGAAGAGGGGTCTCTGGGGCGAGCCTGTACTCCACAGAAATCACTACAACGTGAGCTATGGACACAAACATGCTCATATATTTATGGTGGAGTTGGCTGAAGGCAGATTCAAAGAAGAATCCACCGCCATGAAAGTAGACCAAGATGGGGAATCTATCGTTCTGGGATTCAAATTGGATCAATTTTGGAAGGTAGAGGCGAGCAGAGATTGGGGGGTTATCGGAGATGATAACGTCTTTGGATGATACTCCTGTGGTTGGATCTTCAAGGGTGGGTGGCACAAATGGAGAGTCTTGGAGACGTTCGATGGTGCCATCCTTGTAAACTCGGACAAAGGTTGGAATCTCCATGGTTATTTCTTCTTTGGTGTTAGCATTTGTGGCAACTGCGGTGGAAATCGAACTCATTGCAAATGCAACATGGAAGTGTTGAAAACGGAGCTTTGGAGGACGACTTTCGGATAAGGGAAGACACACTGTTGAAATATCTTCTGTGCCGTTCGAAACAAAGGCTCGTGGATATATATATACTAACGAAGAGTGATGCTTCATTTACCATAGAATCATTTGTGAAGTGAATAATAATTGAATCTCACCTCACGTTGTTAGGAAATAAGACTTCATATTTAATTGGATATTGCATGGAGCAAATCTAATATTCAACTATTTTGTACCACAGAGAGAAATAAAAATAATAATAATGATAAAATATGTGATACAATTGAGAAAGTTAAAAATTTATTATTATTATAAAGTTTTATTGTAAAAATATTATAAACCAATATTAAGTACTATAGCAAAAGCGACTGAAATTTAAAAAAATTGTCACCCACACATGTTGAATCACTAAATTAATAAATTAGAAGTGGATAACAAAAATAATTCTTTACTTTTAACATGTACTTTTTAAAATTAATAAAATCAATGATAAGATGTTTTTGTCTTTTTGTACTTGATATAAATTGGTGTAAATTCCATTTTAAGAATATATATCCATCAAAGATGGATAGGTGGAGGGCTGCTCTGCTCCTTGTAATTTATTGGGAAGCGCGAACTACAGATCGAAGACATTTTCCCTTCCATGAGCACGAACTATAACTTAAATCACTGCCATTATGAGCCATTGGATGCTCTTGAATACCCAAGACCCCACTAAAGATTTCAAACTATTCATTAGTTTATGACTGTGGTGGCTCGGTCAGGTTTTTTGTTGCGTTGCTTGTATTCCTTTTCTGAATGCAATGAGCTATGGCAATTGTACTTGGTGGAGGGATACGAATTTTCTACAGCTTTAGGGGGAACATAATTTGGAATAAAATTTATTTAAGTAAATTTTAGTCTATTTAAGTGAAAATAAGTTAATCTTACTTAAATAATTTTTTTTTTCTTAAATAAGATAACATGTGCTTGTCAATATATAAAGCGAGCCTAAGTGTGAGGTCAAAGAAAGCAAAGCATTTTATGCTTTAGTGATCTAATTTTAAGTATTCTTTTAAGTTCATACAAATTTAAGATAAATAATTGTAGATTTATATTTTGTAATATGCTTAAGCGTGTTTAGAATCTCTTAAGCAAAATAAAATTTGTTTAAGTTATGTCAAACAAATTTAATTATTATTAAACGAATTTAGGATAGAGAGTAATGATTCAAAATGCTATCATTCGCTTAAGCGAATATGGATCTACTTAAGTGAGTTTAGTATTTGTTTGAGTCAACTTGGCTATAATATATGAGATTCAATTAAGCTTTAACCACTTAAGCGAATAATGCAAACTAATGAGTTTATTATGCAGAAAGTGGTAAAATGAAAGGTTGGGCCAAAATGTGTTTATATATTTCATTCCATTCTAGAAATATAGTTGTTCAAAATGGATAAATATGTGAAATATAAGCAAACCAACATGGATAAATACTCCATTCTATTTTATTAATGAAATATAATTGTTACATTTTACACACAAAATGAATTCATTAATACATATTAAATGAAGAAATTAATGAAGTTTTGTTTGTTGTATAATCAAATTCATCAATGATTGAATTATTGGTATCATGAAGTTGTCCCCATAAAATAAGAAGAGAAATAACGAACAACTATGAATAAGTAAAAAGGAAGAAAATTTTATTGATGTAAAGTTAAGTTGAAAAGTATCACTCTCAACAAATATGTGAAACTTAATGGATTAACTAATGTGTGAGAGGATCATAATATAGAGGTGTTGAACAATGTACTTGAACTGGATCACAAATCATTGGTTGATATTCCTAAAACATATGACACACATATTATTATATGGTTATAAAATGGAAGTTGAAATACATGTATTTATTAATATTAAAAATCATTATAAAGAAGTACCTGAGATGTTGATTGATCTAAAACTTGAGTTTTGTTCTTCTTTTTCTTTGGTTGTAGCTCAACTTAACTTTTGAATTATTTATTCTTTCTCCTTTGGATGCTTGGTTAATGCTTGAATCCCGTAGGTTGTGTACCATCATTATTAATCATAACTACAGTATCATTCCTATTCTTGTCATAACTCTGTGTTTGTAAACGAAGCTTTGCGATTTGGCCGATTAACCTATTAATACCGTCATCGACTAGCTAACAATATTCTTCTAAACCAGATACCTCAAAGTCCAACCTAATCATTTTACATGATAAGTGATGGTATAGGCATGTGGTACTAAGTTTATGATCTCCTTTCACCTTTATTCCTTTTACACTGTGAATAATCTTACGACCTTGTGTTGTCCATCTCTTAAGTATGTATTTCATTGGGATAACTTTTACATCATTGGCTTCAAACACTTTCAATGCATGAGAACAAAGTATGTCAGATGTTTCAAACTTTGAAAAGAGCAATATATATCAGTTGAGGAACAATGAATGTAACTATCCATAATCTTTTGTTGCTTGACTTTAGTAATGACATATTCAATTAAAGAAGGAGTTTCAATCCTTTGTGATATGCAACAAGCCAAGAATTGAGCAAACACTTGTTGGAATAAGTTAATCAATATATGTGTGTAAATTTTGGCTATTTATATTAGTAATGAGGACACTTCCTATCGCAACATGGCTAGTTTATAATGGAAGTCACACTTACACTTCAGTTTGTTGTAACACTTGTCTTTAACAATCTGTTCAAAGTGAATGACTTTTTTTTTGTCAACACCAAGTTTCATACATACCTTGAAATTGGAATTTAAGCTTTCACTTATTGGCTTTGTTTTCCAATGGTGAATACATCCTTGAGATATAACATGATGTTCATTTCTCCTTTATGGAATAAAGTGAAATAATCCAATAATTTTCTTCAACATTGTATTCTGTAATCAACCTTCTCCAACCCTCCTCAAAGTCAATTGAAGTATCAAATTCATATATGCATCTTTTCAATTCGCTTAAAAAATGACTTCCTCCTTTTATCAAATTGTCAAGGTGTTTTATTTCATTTTGCATGAAGTGTCATGTGCATAAAGTATGATGTACCTTAGGCATTAAACAGACAAGTGCCTTGGCTATTGCTAAATCTTGGTCTGTAAAAATTGTTTTGATGTTTTTTTTTTATTGTGTGCTTCCAAGAATGTCTTAAACAAACATTGAAATGATTCTCCCATTTCATCATACAACAAGGTTGCCTCAAAGATAACAACACCTTTATAATGGTTAAAACTTAAAAACAATGCTAGAGGCCTATTAGCACGATTGATGTAATATGTGGTGTCTAGGGATATGACTTCACCAAAAAACCCATAATCAATCACAATATTTGTATCTGCTCAAAAAACATTTGTGATTTATTCCTTAATATTAGACAATTAACTTCTCCATATACCATTCCCCTTTGTCTATTTGTCTTAAAATAAGTTTTTACATCCAGGTGAATATTACCCAACATTAGCATCGTGTCTTAGATGTATGCTTATGAGTTGAAATGATGACTTTTGTCATAATTCTGAGGACTCAGCCAAATCAATCTCATGAGCTTGGACTTCAATCATCTTACGATGTGAAGCAAACATGTGTAACATATTTGTTGTTAGGCAATGCTATTCTTGCAAGACAATCAGTTCTAGTTTCTGGTCTGTACTTGCAACTTGTGCATTTCTTTTATCTTCCTTTAAATGTCATGAGCTTAGACTTCAATCATCTTACGATGTGAAGCAAACATATGTATTGTCTTTAGAAGTTGTAATGGGTGATTATGTTCTTCAAATAACTCATGTATAACATATTTGTTGTTGTTTCTCAAAGGCAGTGCTATTCTTGCAAGACAATCAGTTCTAGTTTCTGGTCTGTACTTGATAACTTATGCATTTCTTTTATCTTCCTTTCAATGTCCCTATTTACAATAAACATATCTAGAAGATGTGATCACACCATCTACCTTTTGACTATTAAAATATTGTTTCCTCATGATGATTCATATTTTGTACTCACATTTATAGCCTTATTGCATCTTCCAAAATATCTTTCCTTCTTTATTTATTTCATTTAGCATGTTTTTACATTTCTTGCATTAAATTAGAGATTTTATAAATATTTGCTACCTTTACTTTATATTTCATATTTTTTCTATTCTGACCTTTGTCCACTATTTCAGCCATAACTTTTTCTGTAGATCTCCTTTTTGACTGATTCTTTTGTAGTGAATTTCTGACTTCTTAGGGTTTAATTTGGACATATGGATTGTGATATTTGGAGTTAAGAGCTATTTTCTATTAATTTTTGAAGTTTAGAATTAAAACATACCTTTTATATTTAAAGTATTTATTTAGGGCTTTTATTATAATTACTTGCAGAGGCCTTGGCCCATTTATTTTCGATTTCATTTAAGACCAGTATATATAGGGGTCAAAAGGTTGATTTTGAACCTCTCCTTTCCCTTTTTATAATTTTGTTTTCATAATTTCATTTTTCTGTAAAGACCTTTTCCCGCTTTTGAGAGAAAACCTTTTTCGTTCCATTCACTTGCCTCTTTTCAGATTTTGCCGCGCTCTCAATTATTTGTTTCTCATGATCATCTCGTCTGAAGCATGGATTGCAAGATCGATTGATCGCTCTGAGTTTGTCTTTTTACTTTTTCACAATTCTTGATTAAGATTGGTGCATGCATAATTCGATTGAATTTGGTTTTATTCTTGAATGTAATATTGATTGATTGATTGCTTTTGCATTTGAGATTTAGGCAAATTTTGTATAGTAATCCTAGTTTGCATCTGTGATTCGTGATTTCATTTTGTGGTTTTAATTCTCATTTTCGTTTTCCAATTTGTTTTGCGTTTTGTTTTCGTTTTCCAATTCGTTTTGTTTTCAATTTGCTTTTGTTTTTGTTTTTGTTTTGTCTTACTTTTTTAGGTTAAATCATATTCGTTTTTGTTTTTTTAAATTTTTTTTGTTTTTAAATTCAGTTTCATTTTTCTAGATCCGTTTTGTTAGATGCATTTTTTTATTTGTTTTTAATTCAATTTTTTCAGATTCATTTTT